GTCTCTATGTGTGTGTGTGTGAGAGTGTGTGTGAGTGTGTGTGTGTGTGTGTGAGAGTCTGTCTGTCTGTGTGTGTGTGTGTGTGTGTGTGTGTGAGTCTGTCTGTCTGTGTGTGAGAGTCTCTCTCTGTGTGTGTGTGAGAGTGTGTGTGAGAGTGTGTGAGAGTGTGTGTGAGAGGGTGTGAGAGTGTGTGTGTGTGTGTGTGAGTGTGTGTCTGTGAGTGTGAGTGTGTGTGTGTGTGTGTGTGTGTGTGTGTGTGTGTGTGTGTGTGTGTGTATGTGTGTCTGTCTGTGAGTGTGTGTGTGTCTGTGTCTGTGTGCGTGTGTGTGTGAGTGTGAGTGTGTGTGTGTGAGTGTGTGTGTGTGTGTGTGTGTGTGTGTGTGTATGTGTGTCTGTCTGTCTGTGAGTGTGTGTGTGTGTCTGTGTCTGTGTCTGTGTCTGTGTCTGTGTCTGTGTCTGTGTCTGTGTCTGTGTCTGTGTCTGTGTCTGTGTCTGTGTCTGTGTCTGTGTCTGTGTCTGTGTCTGTGTCTGTGTCTGTGTCTGTGTCTGTGTCTGTGTCTGTGTCTGTGTCTGTGTCTGTGTCTGTGTCTGTGTCTGTGTCTGTGTCTGTGTCTGTGTCTGTGTCTGTGTCTGTGTCTGTGTCTGTGTCTGTGTCTGTGTCTGTGTCTGTGTCTGTGTCTGTGTCTGTGTCTGTGTCTGTGTCTGTGTCTGTGTCTGTGTCTGTGTCTGTGTCTGTGTCTGTGTCTGTGTCTGTGTCTGTGTCTGTGTCTGTGTGTGTGTGTGTGTGTGTGTGTGTGTGTGTGTCGTCCGTCAGAACTGATCTGTGTTCAGTCTGTTATTTTTCACAGAAAATATTCCATCAACAGGATTTAGTGCTGCAAAATCAAACCGACCAATCACAGGCTGCGCTGCTCTCGATGAGGTCATCAGATAGTTGTAGAATAAGTCTAGAACCGTGAACCGTTTCTTACTTTTTACTTGAACATTTATTTATTATTATATATGTTCTGTCACAGTATAAATGTTATTTCACAAATAAAAAAATTAAGCATTTCATGATGTGAATTTATTTGATATTATATTATTTTTATTAATGCATTAATTTATATTTATACTTATAAAATCTTTCTAATTATTTTTCTTAATAACCTACCTAAATAAAACTAAACTAAAACAAATAAATAAAAAATTTTACAAACTGTATAGACATTTTTTTTAACTAATAAAAATGACAAAAACACTCAACAAAATTACTAAAGCTTTAACTAAAATGAAAGTGAAAACAGAAACTATAAAAATTAAATCTAATCCTAAATATTAACAAAAACTTTAAAAGTATATCAGTGACACTGGAATGCACACATTAATTCATTAAAAATGTATTTTATTCTATAAATTTCTGCCTATTACTTTATTAAAAATACTCTTTCACAAATTCAAAATTTCAGTATGTGCTCACATAAATAATAATTTGATATTATATTATTTATATTTATTAATACATTCATTTATATTTATGGATTCTTTCTCTTTGTTTTTCTTACTAAAATTACTAAAACTAAATAAATTAAAACTAATACAACATTAACATTATTCAACTAAAATTAAATAAATAAAAACAGAAAATATCAAATTAAAATATTAACATAGTATATCAGTGATACTAAAACACTGGAATGCACACATAAATTAATTAAAATGTATTTTGTAATATATTGTAATTCTTAAAAATATTATTTCATAAATTAAAAATACAAAATTCCATGATGTGCTCAGTTGAATGATTTATTTAATATTATCCTCTTTATTTTTCTTTCTTTAAATAATTTACCTTTCTTTTATTAAGTTTATTCCATTATGTCACCATCCTATTACAAACTGATGACCTAACTTGTGTATTATCTGTCGTCTCTGTAGATTATGCAGCAGATGAGCGATCATAAATATGATAAACTCACACTTCCTGATGATTTGGCTGCAAACTGTGTCTACATGAACCTGCCGGGTAAAGGAGACGTCCTGCTGCACTGCACACCGGAGGAGTTTCCTGAGAGCGCCAAGGTCACACACACACACAGAGAGACACACAAAACACACACACACACACACACACACACACACTCACACACACCAATTAAAATACATTAAACTTTAAAATACCAATTATCTGAGCACATCATGAAATTTTGTATTTTATTTGTATTTATCATCTATAAAACAGATCATTCACTGCATAACCCTACAGACATACCAAAACTTTAAAAAATAATTAATTAATGTCCTATCCTAACAAACCATACATCAATGGAAAGCTTATTTATTCAGCTTTCAGATGATGCATAAATCTCAATTTTGAAAAATTGACCCTTATGACTGGTTTTGTGCTCCAGGGTCACACACACACACACACACACACACACACACACACACACACACACATATATATATATATGTATGTTGATGTGTTTCATGATGTGCTCAGAAAAATGTAATTCAGTCATTTATTTAATATTATATTACTTATATTTATTAATGCATTTACATTTATGTTGAAGGTTTACAGTGTTATGCCGTGAATCGAATCATCTGACACTACTGATAAAACATCACTGATTAGTTTGCATAATAAAAGTCTACTCTGCGTCTGCTGCTGCAGGTCTTTGAGATGCTGAAGGATCACATGCTCATCCCGGTGTCCAATCACGAGAAAGTGAAGGTGGACGGCGCGCTGACCTGCTGCTCGGTGCTCATCAACAAGAAGAAGAACATCTGAGAGACTCCGGAAACCTTCATCAAACACAGCGTTTCATATTCCGCGCGTGTTTCATGAATGAGGCCTGATGTGTGCGTAATGTGCAGGATTACTTCGTTTTATCTTTGTTTTTGTTTTTTGAACTCCCACACACAGACACACACTCACTCACACACACACACACACACACACACACTCACACACACACACACACACACAGTGTGAATATAAAAACACACTTAAAGTCTGCTTTTTCTAACGTGCGAGGAAAATAAAGTGCATTTATTTTCTAACCAGCAACATAATTAAAAAAAATGATGGATGAATGTGGTTTTAGCTGGTTTTAGCTGGTTTAACTAGTCTCCAGGCCAGTTGGTGTTTAATTGGTCGGCCATCCTGACTAGTTTAACCAGCTCGGTCAGAATAACCATCCAGCTGTTGACTTTTTTAGCAGCGGTCAGTGAGTCAAAACTATTACAATTTTGATTGTTATAAAATCTAATTTTCATGACAGAAATTGCTCTAAACCTCAAAATGTAGCTGTAATCAGAATCAGAATCAGAATCAGAATGAGCTTTAAACTATATAAATCATCTGGATCCATTCAGAATGACTGAACCGTAAGTGTTTATCGTGTTTAACGTTCATCAAACCCCATAAAAAGCCTGTTTTTAAACACTGAATGGTGATTTGTTACTTCGTGTTGCCTAGATTGTAGAGCATCGTGTTCATAAATAGATTTATTGCGCATTTGAACTGCATTTGGAATAAATATCCGCCGACTGCGTGCGTGTGAAACAAGACATAGTGAAGTGCTTTTATTGAGTAATTGAAGTGAAAAATTTAGTTTTTATGGATTTATTAAGTAGTTTTTGTGTTCGTTTGCCCTTGAGTTCCCAGATAATTAAAAAATATGTTCTAAAAAGCTTTGCTAACATTAAAATGTATTTTCTTTTTCTTTTCTTGATTATTTGAAGCGTAGAGAAAACATTAAGGTAACGTTCCATCGCGAACATTTTGGAAATAATTTTTTGAAAGTTCTCTGAAACTAGTAAGCTGTGACGTTTAAAAAAAAAACATTCGATGAACGCCCAATTAAAATGTTTCCGAAAATACATTTCGTGAGCAATGTTTAAGTGCCAACGTTTTGAGAACGCCATTAAAGTCCAGATAACTTTGAACGAACGTTCTGTTAATGTTACTGGAAGAACATTGATATTGATATTGTTTGTAACTTTGAGAGAATCTTGATAGAATGTTCTGGAAACGTTCTCCGTAAGCTGGAAAATAGTTTGGAATGGAATACTAGTCATCTGCATACTTAGTATGTAGTGCATGTTGACTTTTTATGTGATAACCTAAAAAAACAGAGGTTGATGTTGACAATCACTGCTGATATAATTTGGTTCGTTTGGTTGCCGTTACAGGAAATAGAAGGTCAGTTGGAGCGCAGTGCATTGTGGGATATAGTATTGCAGGTCATCCAGGTATTCCAGAACATTTGCAGACTATGCAATCTTTACATAATGCAGAAACAGAGTAGTATGCTAGTCGATTCAAACATGCCGTGATTTCACAATCCTCAGGTGTTGATTGGATGTCCTTCCTCACTGTGACGTCCAATCAGAAGTTTGCCAACACCCATGTAATTGAACGGCACGCCAGTATTGGTGCATATGCTACCTTGACCCCACTAGCCTGTTGCATTTGCGTAGTGTTAGCATCAAGCTATATTACCTTATAATTCATTATTAGGCTACTTAACGTTTAGCTTCATACATTTAAAGCCTGCTGTGGTGGCAGCTTAGTTCCTCACACTTTCCTTGAAAATCGTAAACTCATCCAGCGCACTGAATTGTGGGTAACATTAGCTGAATCAATTGTACGATGATTTGGGACACTCATTCTTATTATGTAAACAATTTAGGATGGAAAGTGCGTGAATTGGACTAGAGGATAAAAAAGGTAATTATGACCATTTATCTCACAATTCAAGACATAAACTCAATATATGAACGTTGCAAAATATGAGCTTGCGATTCTGAGAAACAATTTTGAGATATAGCTCGCAATTTGCGAGAATAAAAAGTCAAATTCAAGATACAAATTTGGAATTCACTTTTTAGTTTGTGGAAGAAAAAAATTGAATTGCGAGTTTATAAAAGAAAACTGAGAAAATCTACGTAAAAAATTGAAAAACGTCAGAATTGCGAGAGAAGAAAGTCCGGATTGAGAGATTAAAAAGTCGCAGTTATCTTTTTTTAGTTTGTGGAAGAAACAAAAAACTGAATTGCGAGAAAGTCCGAATTCTGAGTTTATATTTCGCAATTATAAAAATAATTTTCTCATAATTGCGAGTTTATATAAATCAGAATATGAGAAAAAAAAAGTCTGAATTGAGAGATTAAAAAGTCGCAGTTACCTTTTTATTTTATTTTGTGGCGGGAACAAGCTACTCTAGTTTTCTGCGTGTGACAATTAGCTCAAGTTGCTAATCTGCCTAGCTGTACGTTTAGCTTCGACAAACATCTCACGTTTCAGATTAGCGCTTTTCACGTGAAGTGTTTTAGGTTTGGCAGGGTTACTCTGTCGTAATGCGTCAGTTTATTTCTCCTGCTGAAGAGAAAATGAAGATTTAAAGCTCAGAGACACGGGCATGCGGCCATGAAACAGGATTTAGAGTTGTCCCAACACTTTTACGACATCGGCAGATAAACACATCAGCCGCCTTATATAACAAAGTGAATTATAGGCCACGATGAAAGCGCAGGCCTGGCATTCTTGTCTCATTCATCGTCTCGTGGATGCTTTGCAGAATACGTTATCATTATTTCTCTGCCAGAAAGACACTTGTAAAATATTCTGCAGTTTTCGTAACGTTTCCAAGCCCCACTGTATGATATCACAGTTATAAAGAAGCCGGTGTTTACTAGCGACCTGCTCATCCAGAAAGAATGCATCACGAACTAGAGTTTTTCCTGCTATCATCTCACCAAGATTCATGCTGAAATCTGTCATCATCCTAAAAAAAGAAACCGTCTCAGGTCTCCGGGATTCAGTATTTTCTTTCTACTCTTGTATTTTCTAAAAAGCAACCCTGATAGCACACGTACATCACGGAGACGTCTATTTGACGTCTGCAAGACGTATTTTTTAGAGCGTTTGCTCATCTGCGATACATCTATAAGACGTTTCCTATCAGATGTCAAATAGACGTTTAGAAGATGCTTATGATTTAGAATGAATGTAAAACTGACATCTTAAAGACGTCTATCAGATGTTTGTACACAGCAGATGCTTTCCAGATGATCTTTAACAGATATCTTGCAGATGTAAGTGTGCTTTCTGGGAAACTTGAATGCTTGATCGATTTGACTCAGGACTTCTTAGATGTGATTGCTATGTGCCATAAGTCCTTTAACACTGTGTCTTTGCTCGTTGTAATGATTTTGTGGGGTTTGATAAATAAAGCCATGTGGGGAATGTGTGTGTTTTGTTGTAGTGTTCTGTGATCGTGACTGATGTTGAGATGGTCGCCATCCACATTCACTCAAACCCGTTTACGTACACCATTTGTGTGCTCATTTGCGTCTAATACAGATGGAAATGAATGCATAAGTGAAATTCTTGGTAGCATCATTGCTATAATTAAAGTAGGCTACCTGAGTTTATGTGCTTCTATTAAGTCGCTTTGGATAAAAGCGTCTGCTAAATGCATAAATTAAATTAAAGAGAAAAAAAACATATCTTGTTAAATTACAGCATATTCAAACGACAATGATTCTAATATGCTGATTTGCTGCTCAAAAAACATTTATTATTGAATAGAAATATCCAAAGAACAGCATTTATCTGAAATAAAAGTGGAAATGAATGCATAAGTGAAATTCTTGGTAGCATCATTGCTATAATTAAAGTAGGCTACCTGAGTTTATGTGCTTCTATTAAGTCGCTTTGGATAAAAGCGTCTGCTAAATGCATAAATTAAATTAAAGAGAAAAAAAACATATCTTGTTAAATTACAGCATATTCAAACGACAATGATTCTAATATGCTGATTTGCTGCTCAAAAAAACATTTATTATTGAATAGAAATATCCAAAGAACAGCATTTATCTGAAATAAAATATTTTGTAACATTATACACTACACCAGTCAAAAGCTTGGAGTCAGTATAGTTTTTTTGTGACACTGAAGACTGGAGTAATGATGCTGAAAATTCAGCTTTGATCATAGAAATAAATTACAGTTTAACATATATTCACATAGAAAACAGTTCTTTTAAATAGCAAAAATATTTCACAATAATACTGATTTTGCTGGCTTGGTGAGCAGAAGAGAATTTTTTTTTTTTTTTTAAACAAAAATCTTACTGTTCAAAAACTTTTGACTGGTAGTGTTGGATAGATAGAAGATAGATAGACAGAGACAGATAGATAGATAGAAGATAGATAGACAGAGATAGATGGATAGATAGAAGATGGATAGAGAGACAGAAGATAGATAGAAGACAGAGATAGATGGATAGAAGATAGATAGATAGAAGAACGATAGAGAGACAGAAAC